GAAAAGTGCAGAGTGGGGTGCCTCAGGGATCAGTACTGGGTCCTCTACTTTTTTTATTGTATGTCAGCGATATGACATCTAATATCCAAACCAGGGTTCTACTTTTTGCCGACGACACGAAATTGTATGCAAAGGCCGCAGAACACAAGAAATTGCAAGAAGATCTCAGAGCTATAGAAGTGTGGTCCAATACGTGGAAAATGAGGCTAAACGAAGAAAAATGTACTATCTTGAGCATTGGAACCAACACCACTGAGTATGCCTACAAAATAAACAATGTCGAGCTGAAGCATGTGAGGGAGCAATTGGATCTAGGTGTCATAGTAACCTATAATCTGAAATGGGAGATGCACATATCAAAAATTGCTAAAAAATCCAACTCATACATATACCTTGTGAAAAAGGCCTTTGAAGACCAGTCATGCAACACCATTATGAAACTGTATAAATCTTTCATACGTCCAAAACTAGAATACGCCCACTCAGTTTGGAATCCGTACTTCATAAAGGATATCGAGATACTAGAGCGAGTGCAGAGACGAGTAACAAAAATTCCACCATCACTCCGTAATGAAGATTACCTTACTCGACTATCCACCCTGGGACTCACTTCTTTGAGGGAAAGGCGTCAGAGAGGAGATCTGATCGAGACATACAAGATTATTCGAAATGGCTACTCCTGTAACCTTGACATCTTCACCTTCAATAACAACCCCCATCTACGAGGTCATACTTTGAAGTTGTGCAAGGAAAAAACCGCCAAGCTTCCAAGAAGAAACTTCATAGCAAATCGAATTGTCTATCCATGGAACAGCCTGTCAAATTCTACAGTCACCGCCCAGAGTCTGAATTCTTTCAAGAATAAGGTCGACACCGATATGAGTGCATTACTCCATGTGGATATTCATTATGGACAATAAGTTCTTACCAAAAACACGACGATAAACTTACAAGTAATCCAATAGTTTCATCAGTGTAAACTGCTTACTATTGTATCATAATAATAATAATAATTATGTCCGCCCTTAGAGATTGCAAAGCTCGCCTCACCGGCTCGGTTGGCAAATTTCTCCCGTGTGCGGTAATAACCTAAATACCACACTTGTTTTGTAATATACTATTACAGCACTGCGGTAAAGAATTTTTATGTACGACCCACACTGTACGACCCACACTGTAAGAGCTTATCACGTAACTCATTTAAGCCTGTTTGAGTGTTTGAGTTACGTAATAAGTTGTATTATCGTACTTAGTGATGTAATCAGCTCATTACATCACTAGTGATGTAATATAAATCACTTGTGATGTAATGCGCTCATTACGTAACTCATTTTCATTGAAAAACGGCATTTTTTAAAATTAAATTATTCGGAAAAGTTATAAATTTAATCTTTTGTGGAAAATAAAACCAATTTGAAATACATACAAAAAAATCTGCGTCATACATAAAATGCTGTATATCACACGTACGGTAACGCTCATTACACCACTCGTGTGATTACCACTCTTTACTGTAATAAATGAAGTTCATACCGCACTTGTGATATAAATAACTATTACCTACGAACGTGCGGTAAACACCTTTACCGCACTTATTTGTAAATAGAAAGTAGCACTGATTGAATGTCGCGAAGCGAAGTTCGGTCAAGCCGTTGAGGGCGGTAGAGGCACTTTCCGCATGTATTAGGTATAAAATTTTACCTACACCCCCCAAAAAAAAGGCATCAATTAAATTATTTAATGAATTAGATTAATTAATAAAATTGAATTAGATTTAAAAATGACAAAAAATCTCTTTTCTGGAAAACAAGGGATTTTTGATTATAAATACCAAAGTCTACTTTACTGCACACTATGCGGTAATAGTTATTTACCTAACAAATGCAGAAAGTGATACTTTACCGCACGCAACGGCAGTTGACGGAACGACGCGAAGCGGAGTTCGGTCAAGCCCTTAAGGGCAGTAAAGGCACTTTCCGCATGTGTTAGGTACAAAATTTTACCTATGAACATCTCCAAAAAAAGGCATTAATAAAATTAATTAATGAAATTAGATTAGATTTAGAAATGATCAAAAATCCATTTTCTGAAAAAAAAAAAAGGATTTTTCATCATAAATACCAAAATCTACTTTACCGCATACTATGCGGTAAAGTTAACTTTACCGCACACTTGCAGTCCACTTTACCGCATACTATGCGGTTATAGTTAAGGGCGGTAAAGGCACTTTCCGCATGTGTTAGGTACAAAATTTTACCTGTGAGCATCTACAACTCCAAAAAAAAGGCATTGATCAAATTAATTAATGGTTCAGATTAATTAATTAAATTAGATAAAATTTAGAAATGATCAAAAATCCATTTTCTGAAAAAAAGAGGATTTTTGATTATAAATATCAAATTCTACTTTACCGCACACTATGTGGTAAAGTGCACTTTACCGCACACTTTGTGTTCTACTTTACCGCATACTATGCTGTAAAGTTGACTTTACCGCACACTATGCGTTAAAGTGCACTTTACCGCATAGTGTGCGGTAAAGTGATACTTTCCATTTGCAAATACGTGCGGTAAAGTGCACTTTACCGCACGCTCGTAGGTGAAGTAACTCTACGGCATAGTGTGCGGTAGAGTGCTACTTTCCATTTCCAAATAAGTGCGGTTAAGTGCACTTCACCGCACGCTTGTAGGTAATAGCTATTTACCTAACAAGTGCGGAAAATGAATTTTTCCGCACGCGGCTGCCGTTCTCCGAACGACGCGTAGCGGAGTTCCGTGATGCAGCCGAGTGCGGAAAAATATTTTCCGCAAGTGTTAGGTACAATATTTTTCCTACAGGCAAAAAATTGTAAAATATATATTTTTTTTTTTGACATATCAGTGCGGTAAAATTTTTTCCGCACTGACAGCCGTGCGGAAAATTTTTTTCCGCACTGACATGTCAAAAAAAAAAAAGTTTTACCGCACCGTGCGGGAAAACTCATTTTCCGCACGCATATCAGTGCGGAAAATCGATTTTTCCGCACGGCTGTAGGAAAAGTTACTTTTCAGCACTGAGTAGGCTCCCTACGACACGCAAATGAGTGCGGTGAAGTGCACTCTACCGCACGGCATGCGATAATATTATTACCGCACGCTCTATCCACATAGGTATGTAATACCTTCAATCGCCTACCAAAGATATATTACCTATACCTATCACCTAAATTCTACTTTTTCACTGTCAAAAGTGAAAGGCTCATTTTTTTCATCATTCTTTAAGCTTCTTTTAGATATTTTGTTCCCGCATGATTGTAGATAAAATACTGTATAATAGGTATGGTAATTAGGCTATTACCGCCCTTATAGATTGCAAATTTCTCTCGCGTGCGGTAATTACCTAGTTACCACACCTATTAATTATATTAAATAATTTACTTAATATTACCATTTCACCTAGAATTTTTTTATAGGAAGTCGTCAATTTTTACGTTCAGTAGATAAACGTAATCTTTTCCTATCAAAAATTTCTGAAGTTGTACCAAAGGTTTTACCCAGTTTATTTTCAAAACACAAAAGGCAATGCAAAAACTCTTCGACGGCACGGAATGGTCAAAACAATTATTGAGATAAGAATAAATATTATTTTATTCCTGGGATGTTGTCGAAGCGCCGGCCGGGGGTTGGCGGGGCAGTTCTCAGTGTTGCCATGCCATAGAATATGTAGTTGCGATTGCAGGAATTGATCCGAAATAATACATTTTCTGTTTTTTTATGTTTAACAAGAATGTACGTGTTTAACAAAAAAATTATATTGGTAAAAAATGTTAGTATTTTAACATAGAAATGTGAGAAGTATTTTATATTCCAATCTTTTTTTTTTTGAGAGGCGAGATAATTTTCAGAATTACTTTTTTCTATAAAAAATTACTTTTCATTCTTCTGTGATTCATCATCTATCATCCCACCAAATTTCATTGATTTTGATCCAATACTTTGGACGTAAATCAAAAAATAGTTTAACCCGTCGCACAGAGGTACCCAGGCCTCTTAAATCTATTACAAATTTTCAATGTTGACAATTAGTGGCAACACGGTCAAATTGCGAGCTGCGACGTCATAGAAATAAATTCTGGGTTTTTATTTGGAGGTATTTCTTTGTTTTCTGTTTTCTCAAGAAGGACTTTGAATTTTTCAAAAGTAAAAATACAGAAAACTCTGTTTTTAGTTGCTTTATCCAAATATGCCAATTTCAAAAATTAGTGAAAGAGCCCATTGTATGTCGAATTATTGTTTCTTTATTGGTCAGGATTAATGACATTTTGACATTAATGTTCATTGACAAAATTGAAGAAAAATATTGTTAAAGTCTGTTTTTTTTTTTAAAGATAATTCCCCAAGTCAAAAATTTAGTAACTATGTTGGCAACACAAGCCTTTTCTACATAAAAAAATTGAAAGCTTGACAATTTTACATTGTATTGCCAACATAATGTCATTTTGACTTTTATCTTTAAAAAAAAAACAGATTTTAAGACATACGTTCAAAACACCATAGCAATATTTGTTTGGGTTTTTTTTTTGAAGACCCGATAAATTCTTGCCAAGTTTCCATTTAAAGCAGGTTTATTATAGGTGGATTTCACTGTAACTAGAGTTAGAGGGAAAACTTCTGCAGGCCTGATCAGTATTTACAATAGTTGTGATGAAGTTTTTCAGCAAAATTAATGGCAATTTTGCTTGAGAAGGACATCCCTACATGCAATTAGAAAATTAGTTAGTAAAACAACAATTTCATTGTGACTTCAGACAGTACTTCAAATCACCTATTAATGAAAAATGTCTTCTAGAAGCCAAAGCAACAGCACATCTAAACTACTGCCCGAATAAAAATAAAAATCGTCTTGCTTTGGATTAGTTCATGAGTTAATTTTAACTTCATTTGACAGCTATTCAAAACCCAATTTGAAAGTAATAATTTTAGTTTAGAGAACATGTGGCACAAATAACATAAAAGTCTTACTTCTTCTGGTGTCTCATCCTTTTCATAATCATCAAAATTCCTTGTATCATCATCACCAACCAACTCAGGCACAACTGGCGGTGCCGAATCTCTTAAATTATCAAAAGTCCATCCTTCACTATTCATAAAAAACAGATGATTTTTTATTTCATCAACAGTATTGCGTCCTAATCGCTTGGTTCTATCACATAAAAGACCCTGTATAAGTGATTTAGCCTCATTAGATATTTCCACTTCATCTGGGAAAATTAGGTTACTCTCGTGGTACATGATTTTGTTGTAGGTACCCAGTAAACTGTCAGCATAAAATGGGGTTTCTCCTACAAGCATTTCATAAACAAAGATACCAACGGACCACCAATCACATTCACGACCATAAATCCCTAGAATTGTTTTAAAAATTAAATATGCAATTTAATTTTAAAAAAATATTTGTTACCTTTCCCATGACTTTGTAAAACCTCAGGAGAAATATAATCAGGAGTACCAACAACATTATTAGATCTAACAAGTCCATCAGAGTCCATACGCATGCAAGTACCAAAATCAGCTAATTTCAAGTGACCATGTTTATCCAGCAACATATTATCAGGCTTGACATCTCTATGCACAAAACCCATAGAGTGTATAATGTCTAGAGCCAATACAACCTCCATAGTGTAAAACTTGGCCCACGTTTCTGGTATGTCATAGTTTGACATCAAATTTACTATATCACCTCCAGGCATATAATCCATAACCATGTACAGATGTTTAGCATCTTGGAAGGCAAAATGCAGTTGCACTATCCATTCGGATTTGGCGTGGGCCATAATATGCCTCTCTTCCCAAAAAAAAGCTGAATCCGACCTTTTAATTAAGTCCGCTTTACTCAGTCTTTTCATGGCAAATACTTGTCTTGTGTGTTTGTGTCTGACAAGTTGGACTTTACCAAAAGCTCCTCGACCAATGACTTTTATGTGTTCGAAATCATCTGTTTTCATGCGGAGATTGATTATATCACTGGCCAAACTATCATCTAAACAAAAGAATTTTATGAAAATTATTTTTTTCTGTGACCCGTTCAGAAAGAAAAAAATTTCTTTCTCATTTGAGGGTATCAAATAGTAGTAGGTACTTTCCCCTTTTTCTCACTAGGCAGATAAAGTATTTACCCTACCTGGAGGGACTTTTTTTTGGTTTTTTTAAATTATCATAATATACAAGGTGAAAAATCATAATTAGGCACTTATCAGATTTCTGAAAAGACCAAGATATTAAAATAAAATATATATATCCTTGCATATATCAATCCCGGAAAAAATCATATGTATGCCACTCTCCCACTGGAGTAAAGTTGCATTTTCTTCCTTATTTTTTAATATCTCCCGCGTCATGTGCAACAAAAATATCCATAGGAGGAAATAATGCCTACACCTTGCTCCCTTGTTATATAGATAGTTATTTATAAAATATTTGAATACTTACATCTATTGAGATACATTTCTACATTTTTAAGCTTTTTGATGGCAGGATGGTCACAGTCAGTGTAGAGAGCCTGGACTGTATCCAAAAGAGAATCAATATTTCCTTTTCCTTGGGGATCTTGAATTTTGGCTTTGAGTACGAGCAGCCGTTTCTTGCGGTCTTCATCAGATGCCTCCATCTTTGTATATAACTTTTGGAGATCTTGCTAGTGTACTCAACTTATAATTGTTGAAACCTTAAAGAGAGAAAAAACAAATAATGTAATGTGTGTGTCATTCTAAATCTAAATGCTAAAATAATTATTTTATTGCACCACACTAATAAAGGTTAGCAAACAATTAATGAAAAAACGTTGATTGCATACAAACGAGCATCCAAATTAACAAATACTAGAGGGAGGCAACATTTTATAACCAATTATAGAAGATTTTATCTAGAAGCTGTGTTATTGAATTGCACTATTTCAAACTTTCAATTACACTAAACCAATAATTAATTAGGCACGATGTTTATATTAAACTCAGACGTTTCTGGATTCTTGCTCCTAACCTAAACTTTGTTAAGATAAGAAAAACCTTTCAGTTGAACAATGATATGCATAATAAATGATAAATGAAAATGAGAACAACCATTCATTAGTTCTGGGAAATAAATTATCGATGAGTAATAAATTGGTAATAATCAGCTGGAAGACATTTCTCATATTAAAAGAATGTAAAGACATAAGACCGTAGGTGGAAAACATTCTTCTAGTCTGAGAAGAATTTCTCTTTCCAGAAAGGAATCGGGTTTGAACAGGTGTTCAAAAACATTGATAAACCGGCGACATGGAAGTTTAGTAGGTTACACCCCAACTAATTATTCATAGCATAGTTTAAATGTGTTTAAATAAAATCAGGCATTGATCTGATCTGACTGTTCCTATTGCCCAAACAAGAACTGCAAGTGAATGGATTCGAAAGTTTAACATTTGGGCATTCAATGTAAATGGTTTGTGATTATTATCATTAAAACTGTATAAACTAATAGGAAAAGGTTCTCCTTGGCCCTCAGTGGAGAACTACAGTGCAAAAAAGAAACACTAGAAGCTCCTTTGTTGTTAAAATGGACAAATATTTAAAAAAATTACCTTTTTCATTACAAACTTTATTAAAAACACTTAAACGTCCTAAATTTCATTTAAACTGATCAACAATAGTCTACTCGACGAATGTATAGAAACAGTTCCACACATATTTTATTTAAAAAAAAAAACAATTTTTTTCGGTTTCACTCAAGTTTCACTGAACAGCAGCCATTTTTGATTAATCATTTGCGAATGTCAACATTGGTCATTGTCATGATTGTCAATTAACTGACAATATTAGTTCTTTTCACGTGGCTCCGGTAAAACTAACCGGGATACAAAACGGCTAGAGAAATGACATACCGTTTTCTAACCTGAGACTTGTGTTTTTTCTCGAGCCCACGGCAGTTCGAAATAATTTTGAAATCTGTTTTGAACCCGTTTAAAAATAACGTTATTACTTTCATTCGAGAAAAAATTATTTTTTCAAACCAGAAGACTTTAACCATACATAACCTAGAATTTTTGTTTTTTTTTTTCTGTTTATTAGCCGCCTATTTTTTATTTTTCAAAAAATGTAAGAGTGTTCTGTTTATGATTCTATAACCCCATACAAAAGACACGACACAAATATAAATATGAATAACAAACTGTCAACTTTCCTTGACTACTGCGCATGCGTTTGTTTTTGAACCGATGCGAAATCTCGTTTCAAAATATTTTCAAACAGTTTTGTTATGACGTCATTAGTTCAACGCGAAAACGTAATGTTTTAAATTAGGTTCAACTTGGTTCAACCAATTTAACTGAGAAAAAACACCTTTTATTCTTGACTTTACCTAGGTAGAAAATTTGACATTGTTAACAGTTAATGCACTGTTCAATTGTCAACACAGTCAAATTTTCTCTCGACCGTTAGTCAAGAATAAGGCCTCCGGTTACAAACTATTCAAACTAACGTGATGGATGATGGATACTACAGTGACTCTATTACCCACAGTGGCGACAATTGCTGTCCTATTTTTGATTGGTTCTAAAATCCCATATATTTATATCGAAAACGCTGCCATCTTGTTCCCAACCTCTTGTTACTTTAAAATATGAATATATGGGATTAGGTAAACATCCATCATAAATCATGGAAAACAACGTATTTGATGGACCTAATATTGGTCATCAAATACGTCGATTTCAATTTTTTATGATAGATGTCCATTTAAATCCTATATATTAATATTTAAAAGTAACAAGAGGTTGGGAACAAGATGGCGGCAGGACCTCTATTGTCGCCACTGTATGTAAAGGTTTATTTAGCCACTGTAATGGATACCTACCACTCGAATTTGAGCGGTATGTTGCGGTTTGTTGAACCGGAGCCACGTGAAAAGGGTTAGTGAAATGTGAATGCCAACAAAAAGCTATTTTAGCGAGAGTTTTAACCTTGTTTTAACCCAGTAGTATGTTGTATTTACTTGGGATACTACATTTTAGCGATCATGGCTGACATACTATGACGTCACAACATAAAACACAACATAAAACTCGGCTGTAAACATGTAACCATTGTAACCATCCTACGAGGGATAGTTACTGGTTGTAGTATGTCAGTGCATCTTTTTCTAATACACGAAAATGAGCATATATGGGCAAAACAGCTGACTACGATTACCGACACAGTCTTTCCATTATAAATAGAGGATTGTTTTTCCCTATTTTGCCATTGTTTTCTGTGATTTTATTAGAGGTTTTTTGTAAAAAAAAAATCTTAACTTGTGCACAAAAGTGTAATTTTATTTTTTTTTCGGATGGGGTCCCCATAAAATTCAAAAATACTACAATTTATCGAAAATATTCGAAAATCTTCACTGGAGAAATTATATTCAAATTCGAAAACGCAAAATTATGTAAAATTCAACAAACCCAAATAAACAAAGATCATGGCGTCCTTTTTTAGTCCCTTTGTCAAATACACTCCACCTGTTATTTGGGTTACTATGACGTCATGAATCGTAGTATGTGTATAGTATGATGTTTACTGGTCGCTAAAATACGCCTAAAACGTCAAGACACCGACGCATTCCAAAACTATGCGGTATAAAAATCGCTGGTATTCCGAGTCGGTTCCAACACAAAAAGGATAATACACACTACTCATCGATTGCTTATCGGCCTCGTTTTTTGCAATCGCGTCCATATTGATGCAGCACCATTGACGACGTCAAACCTGTACCCTACGTCAAAGAGGTTTTCGAGCGCTTGACCGGTAAATACCCATTCACTGTCGGTATTTACTAATTTGATTCAAGCGGTTTGGTCATTCGTGGTCATGAGGTAAAAACTACAGTGGCTAAATAAACCTTTACATACAGTGGCGACAATAGAGGTCCCGCCGCCATCTTGTTCCCAACCTCTTGTTACTTTTAAATAATAATATATAGGATTTAAATAGACATCTATCATAAAAAATTGAAATCGACGTATTTCTATTTGATGACCATTATTAGGTCCATCAAATACGTTGTTTTCCATGATTTATGATGGATGTTCACCTAAATCCCATATATTCATATTTAAAAGTAACAAGGGGTTGGGAACAAGATGGCGGTGTTTTCAATATAAATATATGGGATTTTAGAACCAATCAAAAATGAGACAGCAATTGTCACCACTGTGGGTTATAGAGTCACTGTAGTAAAAACTACAGTGAAAACGAGCCCTTGGTCTTCGTTGTGACGTTATTCTTTGACATTGACAAGCAGCGGTATTTACACAACTTTCTACCTGTTTTTTACCTCCCACCATTTCTGTTGATGATAACTGACATATATTATATATATATATATATATATATATATATATACAGGGTGTATATTTTAAGTGATACCACTATTGCTATATCCGAAACGGTAAGAGCTACAAGGTCGGTTAAATTAGAAAAAAGTTGCCTTTTTTAATGCCCATTCAAGATTTGTTTACAGTATTGCGAAATTCCTTTCAGTTCATGAAATACATCAGGGTGATTTCCAAAAAACGCTTAAAATTATTTCATCAATTATTTCGAAAACTATTGATATTCGAGACACCATTTAAATTTGAAAGTTTTATAATTTTTTTTGCTCTACAGCATGGGATCTTCAAATTTCAAATCCGACGTTTCGTGATCGAGCTACCATCATCAACTTCATTTTTTTAAATACGGACCTGGATTTATTATGTCATTTTTAGAAAGAGAATGAAGGGCGCTTTCTAAAAACGACATAAAAAATCCAGGTCCGTATTTAAAAAAATGAAGTTGATGATGGTAGCTCGATCACGAAACGTCGGATTTGAAATTCGAAGATTCCATGCTGTAGAGCAAAAAAAATTATAAAACTTTCAAATTTAAATGGTGTCTCGAATATCAATAGTTTTCGAAATAATTGATGAAATAGTTTTGAGCGTTTTTTGGAAATCACCCTGTATTTCATGAACTAAAAGGAATTTGGCAACACTGTAAACAAATCTTGAATGGGCATCAAAAAAGGCAACTTTTTTCTAATTTAACCGACCTTGTAGCTCTTACCGTTTCGGATATAGCAATAGTGGTATCACTTAAAATATACACCTGTATATATATTTTTGAAAAATTAATGGTGAACGTTTCTTTTTTGTGAATTTTTTTATTTGCATTTGCCGTTGTTTAGTTCCAGTTTCAGGATATTAAATTTGTTATACAAATATCATCATGGATAGAGACAGGTTTCAAATCCTCTTGAATTATGAAGGAAAAGATATTCAAATGGGCCGCCCTATGAGAAACCCCTCAGCTAATATTTTCTTCTGCATCTTCATCCTTGGTTAGGTTAAAATCCATTGGTTAGGTTAAAATGTAAACAAATACAAACGGAAGGGAGAAGCAGACAAATCAAAACCAAAATGATAATAACCCAAGAATCGTAAACTCTACAGGATTGCTCAATTGGCTAAATTTGTTCACAATTGCTGTGACGTCACGTGCATGCCGGATTTTCAAGATGGCCGCTGATACGAATGATGTTCAGTTTGTGCTAACAATTATTTTATCGTAAATTCGGATATATCTGGTGTTTTGCTAGTGTTATGGCCATTTCCACCAACTATTTTAGGGAAGCCCTAACGATAGGTATGCCTTAAACTGACATTTCTCCATGTAAATATGTCATTTTAGGGAATACTTATCGTTAGGGCTCCCCTAAAATAGTTGGTGGAAACGGCCATTATAAGTGTAAATTTAAAGTTTCATTTAATGTGTAAGCATAAAAGACTCGTGGCTGAAAATACTCGCGAAAACCCCAAGCATTTTCTGGTTTTAGTGGTTTTATAATACTGGATTTATTGTATCAGGACATAGCTCTTTTATTTGTGTGTATTGCTAGTTAGTATTTCCTAGTCAAGCATTTGTATTGCTTTTTTTTTGTAAATCAAATATCTACTTAGTTGTAAGTTTCCTTTGCATGTAATTACTAATAAAAATTAGTGTTTGTGAATAAATAAATATGTAAATAAATTCCTTTACTGGCGCGTTTACTATGAAAACGCATGGAAAATATGGGAAACTTGCAGTGTTTTTCTGGAATATGATTATGAGAATCTAAATTAGGATCACTATTTGGCTTTGTGAAATAAGCTTACTTTGAATGTCCATATTAAATCGTTCTAGTACCTATTAAACTAATGAATAATAATTGAGAAGTACCTAGGTAGGGACAGTAAAAAATAAAACACACTATTGCCACCCCGTTTCGCTTATATTTTGATATTGAAATGCAAAAATTAAACCGGCTCGCTCAAATTGGCACCCCACATTTGGTTTTCTACTGTTTCTCCACTGTAGTCAATTGTGCCCGTTTTGTGCTCAATTGTGCCAGTATTTATGCGAATTGTGCTCATTTTCATACACAAAAAAAACATTGAAACGAATCCGGGGGCCAGCTTGACTCCAGCCTTTCGTTTTTTTGACTTTTTGGCAATATGTTTGGCTAATTGATAAACAAAAGCAAACAAACTCGTCTTTCTAATTAGCCAACCACTCAAGCCTCAAGGACACAAGCTTTTGAAGTCTGCTAATTTTAAAATTAATAAATTAATTACAAAATACAGTTTGCAAAGGAAATAACCTCAAAATAACAATTTTTCACGTTTGAAAATGCAAGGATAGTGTACTGTCATAAAAAACACAAACCGATCAAGGACTGCGTGACGTCATTCGCATACCGCCATCTTTGA